AGAGAGAGAGAGAGAGAGATGGTATATTTTAGTCCTGGTTCAGCAGCTAGTAATGAATGGTGTGATTTTGGAGAACATGAGCTCCTATTTCCTTCTCTATGAAAGAATAATAATACCTGCTTTTCATCTACCATAGGAAAGGTACAAGGATAAATGAGATGTCATATATGAAAAGCCATTTGCATTCCCTGGAAGACATTCTACGTATGCATTAATATTAACAATAAATGACATTTATAAAGTACATTAGATTTTGTTAAGCACTTAGCACACACTGTCATTTCATATGAATATAGTCTGATCAATTATCTCAAGCACAGTACTGGATCATAGGTCATGGCTATCTCTGCTCTGTTCCATGGTTCCTTCCTCCGCCCAGCTGGATCACAAATGGAGATCACCAGCTATATGGGGCAGGACAGTATACACGGAGCAGGACAAACTCATTACCACTATGAATTAAAAAAAAACATCAGCTATGTAGTTGCTTTCAGGTAATAAAGAAAACACATATAGATGTTTATCAGATATAGAAAAGCCTCTATCAGGGTCTTCTGCAGATACCTCTTCAAGGTATAGGGATGAACTAATGTTCTTAAAGCCAATGCCTGCTATCTCTGGTAGATTCTACCATGCTGGAGATGTTCTATAGTCTATCTATATATGGAAAAGTCCATCACCAGACTGTTGGTCACCAGTTGATGGAATTCTTTTGACCATAGCCACATCTACTAAATGGGAGGGACTATGATTTACAGAGGTGGTCCTCACACACTTACAGGCGCACCATCCTGACTTATTAAACCATGGATCCTTAAGGAGTTACTGTGAACAGGGAGGCTAAATGGTGGAGGGGTAAGTGTTGCATTGGGAGATAGAAAACTGGGGTTGAAATCTTGGCTTAGCTTCTTAATGTGGACAAGTCAATTACCATTCTGGGTGTATTTCTACTTCTGTAAAATTAAGGTGTTGGATCAAATGACCTCTAGGTCTCTTCTAGCTCAAAACTGGTGATCCTACGAATGTTCCTTCAATTTTTGTGAATAAAAATGTCTGTGTATTGTTTGAAGGTTCCCGGCTGGAAGGCAGTCTAAAGGAAGGTACTATAGTTGAAAGCTCTGGTATCCAGAGCTGGAAGGGACCTTAGAGATCGCATTTTCCAATTCGCTCATTTTGCCTAAGATGTTAAGTAGCAGAGCTGGGAGTTCAAACTCAGACCTTCTGACTCCCAAGCTGGTTTTCATACATTGAGGTTTATGCCTTTTAAGTGGAAAAAAAAAGTCTTTAGGAAAGTTCTTAACTTGGGGTCTATGAACTTGTTTCCCTGATATTTTGATAACCCTATTTCAATATGATTGGTTTCCTTTATAATCCAATGTATTTTATGACTTTAAAGAATGTTATTCTGAGAAGCGGGTGCATCAGTCTTCCCTGACTATCCCAGGGGTCCAAAGTTCAAAAAAAGGTTAAATATCCTGGCTTTAGAAAGATCAGCAGTGGAAGCAATGCTCACTGGGGATCCAAGCTTAACACAAACAATAAAGCCTGTGCCGGTCTCCGGTCACTTACTTCCATCCGACCTGGCGTAGGACACTAAATGCCTTGTGGTGGGTTTTCCTGTGGCTTTGCAAGGGCAGAAAAACAGTGAGACATTGGGTTAGTTTCTGTTTCTTTCTTTATTAAATGGTTATTTCCAAACTACAGTAAGGATGACATTCTGGGATGGGGACAGTGACAGAGACCACTGTTGAGAGCCTCATGGGATGGCTCCTTCTCTGCTGATCCTGTCAGGGCTGTCTTCTTGCTTCAGAAGGGCCCTGGAAGAGGTGAGCAGGTTTAAAAGCTGAACTGGAAAGCCTCTGTCACGTGCTGCTTCCATGCATCAAGGTTTGGCAGTGAGGAGGAAAGGCCCATGACATGCCATGTCTCCCCATCCAACACCCCTGAGGTCTGGTAGGACAGCAGTCGTGCTCCTGACTTTGCAAGGAGTCCTAGGAAAAGGAAGAAAGAAGAGATCTGATTTGTCTGGGGATGAAGATGTAAAACGAGGGGGTTGGACTCATTAGTTCACAGCTTTAGAGCTAGAAAAGACCTTAGAGGCCAAATATACCAACTCCTTCATTTTACCTATGAGGAAACTGAGGCAGACAGTTGGTAAGTGACTTGACCAGAATCAAACAACTAGCAACTGTTTGGGGCAGAATTTGAACTCAGATCTTTTTGACACTAAATTTAGTGCTCTTTCTCCACTGTGCTAAATCCATTATCCCATAATAATATGGGAGGAGTCTTGTGATTCTGAAGACCATAGTGTGGCCTTCTTGTGATAGGTTCCCAAACTTAGAAGTGGCACTAGATTCTGTGGTCTGGGGGGGTCCCCATAAGAGTATAGATCAAGATTGGGACAGACCCAGGAAGTCTATGATAACCTTGGGCTCCATCTCTAAGGAGAAAGTCAGTTCTGACAGACGGTCTATAAGGTCCATGGCCACCAGAGGATTCTGTGATGATGAAGGAAACCAGGAAGATTGAATTTCTGAGTCAGATCTCCTAGAAGGAAGGTACTATAAAAGCTCAGAGTGGCATCATGGTAAGTGGGAATGAGAAAGCCTAGGTTCCAGGTTACCACTGCCATGGACGAATTTTACTAGTTACTCAATCTTTACGGCCATCAGTCTTTTCACCTATAAAATGGGGGTGCTGGGTCACATGTCTTTCTTGGCTCTAAAATTTGGGCTTCACTTGGCTCTGGGAAACACATCCATTGGCTCTCCAAGAGTTACTTCTTTGCAGTGTTAGTCACTCCCTTTGTCCACCCTATCCCACAAGAGCAGCCCCATGGGCAGCACCGCAGGATCTCTTGCAGGGTATTTAGGATTCAGATGAGGACCTCTAGATCTTGGGGCAGAGACACCCTAAAACAAAGGAAAGATGCTGGATGGGAGATGGGAGATACCTAGGTACCTTGGGCAGACACACAAACTCAAAGGAGGGTCCCTTCCCACCTTCTTGTGCAATTGAGCTGGTTGGTTGGTAGCCTAGGAACTGTTGGGGCCTAGAAGGCCATAGGTATCACTCTTACCAATCATGGTGGGCAGCAGCTCTGGGTCAGAGGGCTGGGCCCTATAGAATAGCAGGGGGAGATCCCGGCGGAGAGGCACTTCTGGTCTGAAGATGGCACCATTGAGTTCTTGCAGGACTGGAGTTGTGCCTTGGACTAAACCCACTGCCCTGTAAGGGGCACCTGCCAAGGAGACGGTCAGCAGGCTGTCCCCACTGCTTTGATCCAGGGGGGAGGCTGGATTGTGTGTGGCTGTGACCTGGAGGCAAGAGGAAGTAAAACGTACAAAGTTAGCTCCTTTGGATACTGTCTCAACATCCAGTCTACAACTCCAAACATACATCACATCTTAGAGTATGGATCCTCCTTAAAGAAGTTCTCAGCTTAGGGAGAACCACGAGAAGGAAGACTGGGAGTGTTGACCTGGGAAATGTGGCAGTCATGACAGGGCAGGATTAGAGTTTCTCAGAGTTAGAACAGACCTCAGAGGGAATCTAGCTCACCTCACACCTGCTCTGCCTACCTACTTCTCTGTTACTGCAATAAACCCCAGAAGAGGCCATTTTGCCTAAAGACCTATAGTACTGGGAACTCACTACCTCTGAGGGTGTCTATTCCAGGCTGGGGCAGTTTTAACTGCCCCATGTTTTCCTTATATTCAGAGATAAAAATCTTTCTCTCCAACTTCTATCCAGGGCTCTTGGTTCCGTCCTCTGAGATAAAAAAAGAAATCACATTGTTTTCCAATGTGACAGCCCTTCAAATACTTGACGATAACTACTATTACATACAGGGCATGCTGGTAAAAGTTTAATCACTGGTTCTCTAAGAAAATGTACACAGGATCCACTTTTAAGTTTAATTTCCATTATTGTTTTCTTCTTTACTTCCTAAAGTCTAGACAGTTAAGAAAACAATAACTAAAGCTCTTATCTGTACAGTTTGTTGATTTTTGAGGTACAAATGCTCACACTGAAAATTTAACAATCAGCTCCTGACCAGTTCTCCAGCATGCCTCTGATTATATATTATATACAGGCAGGTGGCAAAACAGATAGAACACTAGACCTGTAGTCAGGAAGCACTGAGTTTAAAACTGGCCTCAGACACTTGCTGTGTGACCCTGAGCAAATCACTTAACCTATTTGCCTCAATTTCTCTATCTGTAAAAATAAGGATAATAATAGCATCTACCTCCCAGGGTTGTTATAGGGATCAAAAGAAATAATATTTATAAAGTGATTTGTGAAACCTTAAAGTGTTTTCCTCGTTTATAGCCAATGATTCTCAGTTTCTTAAATAGCCCCAGTTCTTTCAAATAATTTTTGTGAGGCATAATTTCAGCCCCTGATCATCCTGGTCTCCTGCCAATCAAGGCACTTCACAGGGCTATAAATTTAGAGCTGGAAGGGCCTTTGCAGGCTGCCGTGCAATATTCTCATCTTATAGATGAGGAAGATAAAGCATAAAGAAGTTATGACTTGTTCAGAGTCACAGAGCTAGTAAGTTCTGGAGGCAGGATTTGAATCAAGATCTTACTAGCTCCAAGTACAGTGACCTATGCATTTACACCAAACTCTCTCTGCTAGTGTCCCTTCCCAAATTCCGCCGGAAGTGGGAGCATCTTTGTGGTGTGTGGTGGGGTTAGGTAGATCAGGGCAAGTTCTCCTTTTAATTCTTGTACAATTCCTCTAATTCAAAACTACCTTTAATGTTTGTGTAAGCCCAATTTAACCTGCATAAAAGTATGAGAAAACAGAGAGGTTATAGGGAAGAGAGGAGGGGGGGGGGAGTCCCAAAACCCAGGTCAGGGCAACTGCTGTATAGGGTTTAGGGAGGGCTTTGGTTTATGGATAGAGTAGATGTGGTTCAGGGGGCATCTCAGATTTGGGGAAAGACAAGAGAAAAGGAGACCTCTTAAAATGAGGCTGAGTAGTGCTGCCGAGACATTCTGCTATTGGATACAAGGTGTTAATAATGCCGAGGTACTTCTCACACTGAAGGAGAGAGAGAGGTCTGTTGAGGGCAGGAGACCAAACCCTAAGGGAGACAGGACGTACATTGAGTCCAGCCTCTTGCATCAGAAGCTTGGCATTCACCAAGTTTACGTCAGCCTGGGTGGCTGTTTCCTTCAGGAGGCCAACGATGACCGCGGGGCTCAGAGAGTTCCTTGCATTCTTCAGAGATGAACCTGGGCACAGAGAAAAGGTCAGTGCAGTGTGTGTCTAAATGGCATGTGTACATTGGGTGAGAGCTGCCATTTTGTTTGGACAGCACCCAGGAGATGTGCTCTGAAAATCAGAGGTGGAGAAAGAAACGTGTACTGTCTAGGCAAAGCATGTTGCCCCGGGGAGGGGGTTGGTTCTGGGCAAAGGCAGCAACTGCTTGCAAGGAGTGCCAATCCCATGCCAGTGGGTGGCTCTGGCTGAAGGCCCCAGTACCTCCCAGTTTCCACCTTCACCTTTCTCAAGGTATGTTGTCTTCCCTTCCCTCCTGAAGGCTTGATGGGCAAAAACACAAATCCTGGTCTAAACCACAAAGCTCAGTGTCTTCCGGCTCCATCCTCCAAATAGAATTACTTAGAGTATAGAATAGAATATCCTCCAAATAGAATGACCAGGACCACCAGGCTGCTACCTGTCTTAAGCCACTGGCTTTTGGCAACATTGACAAATGAGTCAGGTCCTAGACCAGCCAAAGCACTGCCCCCACAGGAACCTGAAGAGAGAATGGTAACCAGATCCAGCTAATGACAAAAGTTCTGGGACTTGCAGAAAGTCCATCAGTACGCAAAACTAGAGATCAGGTATTTAGTCTGGGTAAAAGAAGACTTTGGGGATGGCATGATTACTATCTTCAAACATCTGAAATATTGCTATGAGGAAATAGATTTAGACTTGTTCTGGAGCTCCAGAATACAGCTAGGACCAGACATGGAAATCACTGGGAGGCAGATTTTGGCTGGGCAAGTCACATAACCACCGGGTGCCTTAGTTTTCTCATCTGTAAAATGGGGATAATTATAGCACCTACCCTCTCAAGGTTGTGGTGAGGATAAAATGAGGTAACATTTGCAAATCTTACAGGGTTATATTATTAGAGTTATTATTATGTAATATTACACATACTAATACATAATGTTATAGATTATATTATAATATCAATGCTGATGATGATGATGACTTTAGTATGATGTCAGTGGCCCCTCAGCTACATGGCTATCCTCAGCTAGTCTACAAATGCTTAAATCTACCAAAATCTGTCTCCCTGTGACTTTTATCACGGGTCCTAGTCTCTAGAACTTCATAGAACAAATCTAATTCCCATTCCTTTAGAGGTAAGAAAACAACTATGGTGTTGTCACTAAAATCTCATTTTATCTTGATGAATTACTATTATTAGTAGCAATGACAACAATGAAAATTAGTAATTATACCAGTGATAATAATAATAATGGTAGTAATAATAATAAAATACCTCAAGTTAAAAAAAAACTATTCCTAAATATGGTTTCCAGATCCCAATTTATCCCAATCACTGCTTTCTAGATACATTTCAATGCTTTAATCTACTTCTCAAAATATTTCAAAAAAATGTTCTGATCAGAGCAAGCCTAGGGGGGACTGTAACCTCTTTTGTTCTGTAAAGTTGATTTCTATCAATGCAGCTTAAGATTTCAAGACTTTCCATTCATGCCTGTTAGCCTACAATCTCATTAATTTTAGCCTTTCTTCCCAGTCTGTTAAGATAATGGGTGACAGAATCGGAACCACAAAAGATATTACCCATTTCTTCTACCTTCACGTCACCAGCAAATATGATAGGCAAGGCCATCTACACTTTTGATTAAGCCACTGATAAATGTGCCAAATATGTTAAGAGCCACAGAAAAATGCTTATGGTGCTATTAGAGACATCACTCAAGGTTGTTACCCTGTTTAAAGGAACCCATAAGAACTATTCCCTAAATAAAAGAGTCGTGTATCAGTTTTGGAAGTTAGAATTTATGTGAGAGATTTTCTCCCAGCAGACTAATTTCCTTTTCCACTCTCTTCACCGCACCTCAATTCTTTTACTAAGACAAAGTGAAGTCTGGGCTCACCCTGTGTCACTACTTGGATAGTTCCTCTGGGTGACCCAGCCCAGGCACGAATCAATGTGCCCAAAGCTTCTGCCAGACCAATCCAGGGCTTGGTGCTGGGGGAGAAGGCGGTGGTGAGGGCCTGGGCATTCACCTGCAGAGAGAAGAGGGAAGCAAGGGCTGAGACTGGCTAAGGACACAAACAGCCCGGTTCAGCTCAGAAGCCAGGACCTTCGGGACGGAGACAGACCCACAGAGAGTGGACAGAAGGTGAATACCAAAGCAAGAAGCCTCCCTTGCCGTCTCTGGACAAAATGATTCACCATCTTGGCTTATTCCATCCCAAGGATTTTGGGAGGATCAGAGGTTGACCATCGGATCATATAATATGAGAGTTGGAAGGGACCTCAGTTGCCTTCTAGTTCTAAACCACACACGAAGACAAGCGGTCATCTTCTTTTGGATAGGGGGTATGCATGAGGAGGGTTACGAGGCTTACCAACTTGGTGAGCAAGATGGAGCCTAGTTGGGCGTGTTCTCTAACTCCCCTCCCATCCTCCTTCCTGCAGGAGTTAATTTCCCTGACCTGCCGTCACGAGCTTTCAATCACACAAAAGTCACCCAAGCAAGAGGCTTCTGGCCCCAAAGCTGGCAGAGTACCAGGGGGCGGAGCCTTTCACAGAGGCCCTGGGAAATGGCACTCCCTCTGCTCCTAGGAGTACAATGTAGCAGGGATAAGTCTTTCACTGCCTCCTGGCCTCCCTCTCCGGCCCACATCCAGTCCATGGCCCAGACCCAAGGAAGGACACAGACCTTCTCTGCTCTTCCTAGTCAAGCACCTCCCCCAGAATGTGGGGAGGGAGAATGTTTCATTTATCCAAACCCCAGACTGGGCACTGGCCCCAGTTCTGCCTGTCTCTCCCACTGCCCTCATCTCTCCTCCCCCTGCTATTTCTAAACCCAGACTCTTCTGGTCTCCCATCTCTTCATTCCCCTCCCCTCTCATCTCCACTTCCCCAACCAAGGTTATACTTACAACCCCAGACAAAGACTTCCCCTTCACCATGTCCACAAACTGAACGGCAATTTCTTCCCCACACCGGCTCTGGGCTTCCTTGGTGCTGGCGCCCAAGTGGGGGCTGCTGATGACCTTCTCGTGGTTCACCAGGGCCAGGCCTCGAGGGGGTTCCTACACAGAAAAGCCACTTCCATCAAAACACAGCTTGGGGTGTAGCCCAGAGCAAAACAACAAAGGAAGATCAGGCATCCTGTACAATCCCCTGCCCAAAGTGAGCAAGAAAGAATTTCATTCAACAGCTGAGTGGCCTGCCTGGGAAAAGCTGGCCACTGGAAGGAATCACAGATGTACTGCCCACAAACCCAGAAAACATACCCAGTGTGGAGTGTGTATAGCAGAGATCTGTCCTGGAGACTTTGTTGTTTCCATCATCTTGGTCATTTCTGTAGCATGTTAAAGTTTGTAAAGGACTTCATAAACATTACCAAAATCTCCTTCCTGAAACCCTTCCTCCTCTGAATGTCTGAGGCCCTGAATGTCTGGGACACTCTTGTCTTATCACATACTACCTTGGTTTTTAGTTAACTTTTTATTTGACTATTTCTTTTTTCATTATTATTACTTTCTTCTGACCTTTTAGTTTTTATATCACTTTCAATTCACAATATACCCCTTCCCATCCTATACCTAAGGTGGCCAAGAATAAAAGAAAGAAAGAAAAGAAGAAAGAAAGAAAGGAAGGAAGGAGGGAAGGAAAGAAGGAAGGAAGAGAAGAAAGAAAGGAAGGGAAGAAAGAAATAAAGGAAGGAAGGAAGGAGGGAAGTGAGTGAGTGAGGGAGGGAGGAAGGAAGAGAAGCATTTCAGCATCACATCAACGAAATTTGATAGCATATGTCATGTTCCAAATCTTTAGTACCTCGGTCTTTGCAAAGAAGTGAGATAAGCAGCAGGAACATTATTATCCTGATTTTTAAAGCTGGAGTCAGGAAGACCTGAGTTTAAATCTTGCCTTGGTCACTTACTAGCTATGTGACTCTGGGAGAGTCTCTTAACCTCTTTCTCTGTGCCTCAGGTTCCTCATCTGTACAATGGGAGCACCTACTCCCAGGGTTGTTGTAAGAATCAAGTGAGGTAACATATGTAGCGTACTTTGCAAGCCTTAAAGCCCATATAAATGCTATTATTATTATTATTTACTACGATCAGTTAAGGAAACTGAACTCTCAGAGAGGATAACACAGCCAGTTGACACCTGGTCCAACATATTCAGTTCCCGGCTGAATGACAATAAAACTGGATGAGCTTTGAATGCGGATTGAAGCATACTATTTGCTATTTTCTTTTTTTCTGTTGCGTTTTGTTTCCTCTTTCTGGTGGTTCTTCCTATGGGTTCTAATTCTTCCTTACAACATCACTGATGTGAAAATATGTTTAATAGGAATGTATCTGTATAACCTATATCAGATTGTGCGCCATCTTGGAAAAGGAGGGAAGAAGGGAGGGGGAGAAAATTTAAAACTCAAAAGCTTACAGAAGTGATTGTTGATAAATCAAAATAAATTAATAAAAGAAAAGTCTGAAAACAAAAACAAAAACAAAAAACCTGGATGAGCACCTGCAAATGAAGCAGGAAGATGGGTGATGGGACAACAGAAGCAACATTCAAACACTCCTGAGTATGGCTCCAACTGGATTAAAATGCAATTGGGAAATATTTAACAAAATAAATATACATACATATAAACATGTAGAAATACAACAGAAATAAATATACCTACAGATAAATACAACAGAATAAAGATATTGTTAATGTGTGGCCTTCTAGGTCAACACGTGGCCCCCATTTCTATTGGCTGTTGACCCCACTGCTCTAAACGAAAGGGAATCCTTATTAGGGAACTCCTTGTACCCATATGAGTTGGTACTTTCTTTATAACTTATAGAATTAGAGAATTTTCTAGAGCACTAAGAGGCTAAGTGATGTGTCCAGGCTCATACAGCTCATATGTGTTAGAAGGAAAGACTTGAACCAGATCCTCCAGGCTGGCTCTCTTTCCAGGAAAGACTTGAACCAGATCCTCCAGGCTCTCTCTCTTACTATACTGGCCCACTTTGCTTCTGGGTTCCTGGAGTTACTCAGTTGGCTCTGAAAGTCACCCAAGTGAGCTACCCAACAGAAAGTAGGAAGCCGCCCCAAAGGCCCTTCCCAGTCTGCGGCTGGGGGAGTAAGAATGGAGAAGAGAGGCTGAGTCATTTTCATTTGTTCTGGATCAATATCAGGCATTTTGGATGCAGACACCCCATTTCCCACATTCCCCATGCTATCCTACAGATTTTGGTCCTTGAAATGTTGTCACATTAGTGAATGCTCTCATGTCAAAAAATGGGGTTACTTTCAGCCTTTTACTCGTCTTCCTCCTCATTCCACACTCAGCCTGCCCGGTACTTACTTCTGTGAACACATCCAGGGCGGCCCCACCACACTGGCCTGACTGCAGGGCACGCAGCAGGGCTCCCTCATCCACGATCCCTCCCCGGGCACAGTTCACCACACGGACCCCCTTCTTGCACTGGGCAAAGGTGTTGTCATTCAGCAAACCTGCGAAAGAGGAAGAAGGAGTTTTCCCAGGAACCAGGCTGCCTTCCCTCTCCCCACTTTCTTACCAAGATCCCTCTGTTGCTTAACTGATTCCTCAGATCCTTTCATTATGGAGATGGACTTTTCTTCTGTTACATTTGAATTCCATTCCTTAGATACTCAGGTCCCTCCTGCTAAAGAGCAGCCCTATCATCTTTACTCAAAAGATTGCCCTCATCATTTCACACCTGCACTACTGCAATAATCTGCTAGTGGGTCTGTTTGCTTCAAGTCTTTCCCCCCTCCCTGCCATTTTCCATTCAGCTGTCACAGTAATCATCCTAAAGCCCACGTCTGACCACATCACCAACCTACTCAATAAAACTCCAGTGGCTCCCAGCCACCAGCAGGATCAAATTTAAAATCCCATTTGGCATTAAAGCCCTTCACAACCCCTGCCCCTGCTTTCCAGTCTTCTGACACCTTATCTAGTCCCCCTGCCCATTCTGCAGTCCAAAGACTTCTTTGGCCTTCTTGCTGCTCCTGGCATAACACACCCTATCTCCTGACTCTGGGCATCTTTTCTGCCCCTCATGCCTTAAATGTTCTCCCCCCTCAAACCTATCTCCTGACTTCCTTTAAGACCCACACAAATTCTCACCTTCTATAGGAAACCTTTCTTATTCCCCTTCAATGCTAGTGCTTTCTTTCTGTTGGTTATCCCCAGTTCATACAGTATATACCTTGTTTGTACACAGGTGTTTCATGTTTCTCTCCCATTAGACCGTTAAGTGTTTGAGAGCAGGGATTGTCCCTTACCTTTTTTTTCGTATCTGCAGCACTTAGCACAGTGCCTGACACACAGTAGGTGTTTAATAAATATCTGATGGACAGACCAGGGCAGTCATCTGGTCTTCTGGAGCTTTGCCCAGCCCAAGACAAGAAAACTTAACAACCCACCTGTTGTTGAAGGCAGAAGAGGTGTGTGTACAGTGATGAAGTCACAGACAGGCCATATCTGCTCCAGGGGCAGCTGCTGAACACCAAAGGATGCTGAGACCTCTGGAGAGATGATGGGGTCATATCCCACTGTCTGATAATGGAAATATAAGTGGGGGTAAAGAAGAGGAGGAGAGAGAACAGAGAGAGGGATGAAAGAGAAAGAGAGAAGAGGAAAAGAGAAAAAGAGGGAATGAAAAATAGGAGGTAAGACGGAGAGAAAAAAGAGAGAAAAGGGAGAGATGGAAAATAGCAAGAGGAGAGGGGGGAGAGAGAGAGAGAGAGAGAGAGAGAGAGAGAGAGAGAGAGAGAGAGAGAGAAAGAGAAATTGAGTAATATAGGTCCAAATTGACACAATTCCTGTAATAAAAGTATAGCTACCTAATATGGCCCTTGGGTGGAAATAATATTCTCACAGAGATTATTCAGGAAAAAGAGAAAGGAAATTGGACTGTCTTTGGAAAGAACAATGGAATCAAATGCCAGCTGCTTCAGAATTAGAAAGATCTGAGTAGGTCAAAAAGGATGATGAAGACAGGAATAAACTGGCCAGACCAGGAGCTGCTAGGACTTGGATAGAGATCTCCCCCCCGAGAAGGAGGACCCCGGTTTACCTCACAAGGAGGCTGAGTAGGTGCCATTTCAGAGTGTTACTTACAGAATGTTCCTTGCTGTAGCAGGAGCATAAGCTTGGCGACACTTAAAATTCCTTCAACTAGGCACAAAGTTTTTTTTTTTATCTCATAATGAGTAAATAAGGATGAAAATGCAAATTTAGACCTGTGATTTCATTGATAAATGGAATTCTCATTTGAGGACACTCCCTCTACAATGCAAGTGAGCACTTTTTCTGTAATTTAGTCTTAAATACTTACTGTTAAGTGACTTACCCAGGGTCATATAGCTAGTAACTGTCAGAGCCTGGACTTTCTATCCAGCCACTGATGAGGAAGTGGGAAGGAGTGTCACAGGATCAGAGATTTGGGGCTAGAAGGGAATTTAGTACCACCTAGTCCAGCCCCTTTATTTGACAGATTAGGAAACTGAGACTATGGGAAGCTGTAACTTGCCTAAGGTCCAAAGAGAATAAGCAGGAGAGGCAGGATTCGAGCCTGAGTCCTGTGACTCAAAATGTAGTCCTCTTTCCACTGTATCACGTTGTTCTCTGGACATTCTTATCGTTATCATCTTGTTCTTATCTTTTTCAATGAGATTCAGATAGAAAGGTTCCTGGAACAAACTGCTTTCCTGCTCTCTATGTATATATATATGTATATGTATATAAATATATACATATACATATATATACACATATATAAATAGAAAGATACACACACACACACAAAATTCCTTTATGGTCAGTGGTCTACATATATTACAAAGGTGGATAAAAAGCCGCTTCTTTTCCTGGACAGAAATATTTGGGGTGAAAGCTCATCTTTTGCAGACTCCCTGAGAGCATCCTTGTACTCTCTCCAGTAGCAGACAGGGGTGATGTGCTGCCCATCTATTTCTTCAGGTAGGTCTCCATACTTTGAAAGCATTTTGTTCCAAGAAGCTTAGAAATCGTGAATATTCAGGATGATGATGTCTACTCAAAACATCATTCAGTTTTTGTGAATCAATCTTACGTTTGTGCAATTCAGGGAAATAGTTCAGTCTGTGAAAACGGCCTGGTTCCAGTGCAGTGTATTGGTGCCCTTCTCCAAAGTCTTTCCAGGTCTGTATTTGTAGGACGGGTCCATGTTGCCTGTCAGTCCATGAAAAATAGTGAGCTTCCCATGTATCCTGCCTCCCCGTTGGTGTCTGGTTAGGTATGTAACAGGCACTACATTTCTTACAGACTGAAGAGATAGGTCATGCAGTATCCACTATATCTTTGTATAATCTTTGTTATTGTTCAGTCATTTTTCAGTTGTGTCCAGATTCTCTGTAACCTCATTTGGGGTTTTCTTGGCAAAGATACTGGAGTGGTTTGCTATTTCCTTGTCCAGATCATTTGACAGATGAGGAAACTGAGGCAAACAGGGTGAAGTGACTTGCCCAGGGTCACACAGCTAATAAGTATCTGAGGCTGGATTTGACCTCAGGAAGGCGAGTCTTCCTGATTCCAGGCCCAGCAATCTATCCACTATGGCGCCACCTAGATGCCCTGCATAATCTACATTGCCCAAGGTTCAGAATCCTTAAGGATAAAGCTTTGGTAGTTTCCAGTAGTGACAGCACCACTATCACAACCTCTTAATTAACACACTAAAATCTGCAAGACTGGGCCATTTGTCTGAGACTTCTTTGTCAATACATCGTTGGTGGAGTGTGTGCAGAAGTCACCCATGAAGGGCCTTTGGCTTCTGCTTTGCATCTCATTCATTTTACAGGATCCTTCAGGAGGTAAGCCACTTATGCATAAGGTTCAACAAAGGTGTGTACTGTGTATCTTTTATCAGCATTGACTATTATGACTCAATGAAGCGACATCTGCCTAATCCAAACATTTATTATTTTAAAAGCTGATATAATTTGTTATGGTGCAGTAGGCATTCATGGGATCACAGAGCTATAGATTTAGAGTTTGAAGGGATTTTAGAAAACAATTATCACTTCCCCCCCTTACAAATGAGTAAACTGAGGCTCAGAGTGAGCTCGTAAGAGTGTTGGTTTAGAGCTAGATGGTATGTTTGAGGCCACCTAGGCTGGCCCTGTCATTTTACAGATAAAGAAATTGAGGCTCAAGAATGTTAAGGGACTTGTCCAAGATCACACAGGTAGAAAGCAGCAAAGACAAAATATGAGCCCAGGTGCTATAGACCAAACCCAGGGCTCTTTCCACTTCTCCTCGCCCAATGATCCTGCTCTGAATATTTTTGCACATGTGCTTTCTTTTTTTTTTCTGTCAATAACTCTTAGGGTAGGCTCTCTATCAGAATATGAATTATTTAGTGATTTTTCTTGGATGACTGAAATTAGGGACTTTAAGAGGAAGCCAGTGCACTGTGAGATCTGACCCAGGAAGACTGTGATTGACTTGCTCACAACAGGAAAGGATGAGTCCCTGGAGAATGTGATAGGTGTGCCAGAGAAGCCATTTCTAGATTCAGAATGGAGAAGAAAAATCTATGAGGCTGCTTAATTAGAGCATTCATGTCTGTGAATATTTAGTAATTAGAGATTTTGGTGAGGCCCTAATGCTCCCCTGCTGAGGGTGGGGAGGGGAAGAGGGGCTGTTGAAAAGGAATGAAAAGTCACCTTGCGTGAGTTGGATTAGTCTCCAGCCAAGCGGGCGGGTGGGGGGGGTGGAGGGGGTGGGGAGAGGTCTGTCTCTCTTTCAGGACAGCCTACAGTGATTGTGAATAGTCGCGATGCCTGAATGGCTGCATCTCACTGCAAATATCCGGTCAAAGTCCAAAGGCACATGGAATAGGGCTGCCTTTCCCTCAGCAGGGCAGTGTGGCCCCTTAGGAATGTGTTGGACAGCTCTGTTCCTAGGCTTCCATTGGAGAAGAGACAGGCAACAGGCGAACAGGTTATGACTCAGGATGACAGAGTGTCTTACCTATTCTCTGACTGTTCTCATATTCCTCATGCATCGATTGTTGTTTTTCAATTGTTTCAGTTGTGCCTGACTCTCCATGACCCCATTTGGAATTTTCTTGGCAAAGATACTGGAGCAGTTTGCCATTTCCTTCTCCAGCTCATTTGACAGATTAGGGAACTGAGGCAAATGGGGTGAAGTGACTTGCCCAGGGTCACACAGCTAGCAAGTGTCTGAGGCCAGATTGGAACTCAGGAAGATGAGTCTTCCTGACTCCAGGTCTGGCACTCTATCCACTGCACCACCTAGCGGCCCATCCCTAGGTACATAGAGGCATAGTTATAGGAACATTGAATGCAGAGTTAGGAGGACCTCAATTTACTTACCGTCTGTGCCCAAAATCCTTTGAGGGCTCTTCATTGCCTATCAAATAAAGTTCAGACCCCTCAGTCCGTCATTTGAAGCTCTTCACAATCTGGGGACACCCTACCTTTCTAGCCTTATCTCACACTATTATTCCTTTCCATATATTCTGAATAACTCATCAGGATTACTCAATCATTCATATATTTTACATACTCCATTTCTCATATACTTCCCACCTTTTCCTTATGCATTACTCATCTTTAGAATACCCTATCCTTCCCCTCTTAAGTGACTTGCCCAGAGTCACACAGTTATTTAGTGTCTGAGGTTGGATTTAATCTCAGGTCATCCTGACTTCAGAGCCAGCATTCTGTCCAGTATGCAATCTGGCTGCCCAGTTGGCGATGCCCTTCCAAAATGACTTAAGAAAGCATTTAGTTTGTGTCTTATCGATGCATGATCATGACTGTGTATTATTTTGTATCATCTAACAATTTGTGTTATATCTCCCTATTCGATACTACTCTAAGAGAATAGGGTCTATGTTTTGAATCAACCAAAAAGCTATCTATTAGGTGCCTAATGTGTATAGAACATCATTCTTGAAAAAATTTATATAAAACATGGCCCCAGTCTTCAAGGAGCTTATGTTCAAGTAGCCTTATTTAATGCTTGTATTTCCTTTGGCACCTGGTATAGGACTCTGTACAAAGTAGGTTCTTAGTAGGCATTTATTGAATAAATGAAGAGTATACTTCCCAGAAGACCTTCTGAGCGCTCATCTTACAACCTTATCTGATTTCCATAGGATGAGTGGGGACAAAGGAGAGACATTGCTAGGAGCCTTGGGAACTGAATAGAATCACTGTTCTCAGGATAGGTATCAGAAATCATGTAAGTGACTGATCACATCAGACTGATTCAATACATAGCCCCTCGTAGAGCAGTATCTAATAGGGAGATATAACACATCCATTGATAATGACAACACAAAATAATACACGATTGTGATCAGTACACAGATGAGGTACAAACTAAATGCTTTCTGAGGTCGTTTGGAAGCCAACACCCAAGACGTTAGCAAAGTAGGCCATCAGAACCTGAAAATCTAGTTATTCCTTCATATAGTTGGACAAAGGCTCTGCCCTAAATGCATCAACTACAGAGAAGGGGCAGACAAAATATCCAAATCAGTG